GGATTCTCCAGGATTATTGGTCCTGTCAAACTGTAGTGACCATGATACTCTGCTCTCTGTACCTGAAGAGATCAATGTGGCATTTCCCATCGGTGTCGGGAAGGTGACTTTTAAAATGTATTCACCTACAGATTACAGATTACATACTCCAAAATGTAGTTTGTAACATAATCCATTAAATTACTTAAAGTGAGTAATGTAATCTGAATACTTTAGATTACTTGATTTGCTGTAGAGAAGCAAAGACGAGGAAATCATAACACAAGATGAAGAAGAGAAGTTTTATCTGCCAAAAGACAATAAAAAGCCCAGACTTTACTTAACCGTATTTAAAATATTATTGATAGAAGAAGAGCATGGTTTAGTCCTGTTAATTCCTGTTTGAGACATAGTTTAGACCTGTTTTAGTCCTGGTTTAGACCTGGTTTAGTCCTAGTTTAGACCTGGTTTAGACCTGGTTTAGACCCAGTTGGGACCTGCGTTTAGACCAGGTTTAGTCCTGGTTTTAGCCCTGGTTTTAGTCCTGGTTTAGTCCTAGTTTAGACCTGGTTTAGACCTGGTTTAATCTTGGTTTAGTCCTGGTTTAGATCTGGTTTAGACCTGGTTTTAGTCCTGGTTTAGTCCGGGTTTAGACCTGGTTTAGACCTGGTTTAATCTTGGTTTAGTCCTGGTTTAGATCTGGTTTAGACCTGGTTTTAGTCCTGGTTTAGTCCGGGTTTAGACCTGGTTTGGTCCTAATTGTAGTCCTGGTTTAGTCCTGGTTTAGTCCTAGTTTTAGTCCAGGGTTTAGTCCAGGGTTTAGTCCTGGGTTTAGTCCTGGTTTAGTCCTAGTTTAGACCTGGTTTAGACCTGGTTTAGACCTAGTTTTAGTCCTGGTTTAGTCCTGGTTTGGTCCTAGTTGTAGTCCTGGTTTTAGTCCTGGTTTAGTCCTGGTTTAGTCCTGGTTTAGTCCTTGGTTTAGTCCTGGTTTAGACCTGGTTTAGTCCTGGTTTAGACCTGGTTTAGTCCTGGTTTAGACCTGGTTTAGTCCTGGTTTAGTCCTAGTTTAGACCTTGTTTAGACCTGGTTTAGTCCTAGTTTAGACCTGGTTTAGACCTGGTTTAGACCTAGTTTTAGTCCTGGTTTAGTCCTGGTTTGGTCCTAGTTGTAGTCCTGGTTTTAGTCCTGGTTTAGTCCTGGTTTAGTCCTGGTTTAGTCCTGGTTTAGTCCTGGTTTAGACCTGGTTTAGTCCTGGTTTAGACCTGGTTTAGTGTCCGGCAATGAGTGGAATTATTGAGAAAAAAAAAGAAAAAAGAAAAAAAGGATATAGTCCAAAATGTAAAAACAGGTAAATACCGCCGTGTAATCCATTTATTCCAACAAAGTAACTGTAATCCAATTACCACTCACTGAAACAGTAACTGTAACTGAATACATTTGTTACTCATAATTTGTACTCTGATTACGTAACTCCGGTACATGTAATCTGTTACTCCCCAACACAGGCTACATACAGTTTCTTTAAAATGTCACAATGTTGTTAAAAAAGTCAAATATTACACTTCCTGCCCCAAAAGTTGCAGCAGCAGGAGTCTCTTTGGAGGCTTCTCATTTTATCAGCAGAACAGGAGCGCTGACTAATACATTCACTCACACAGGTCACCAAGTCATGACTTTAATACTTCCAAATGGACCATGTAATTACACAGAATAATACACGCCAATGCATTGTGTTAAATGAAAACTTTTTCCAACAACCTTCGTAACCTACGCACATTATGGAAATCTGGAGGTTAATGACATTCATTTAAGTCACAGTTCAGGAATAAATTATGTGCAGTCTGGGAAAGAAAATGTTGAAGGATGAAAAAAGGATAAAGATAAAGACTCGTGGGGACTTGGTGGGGACGTTATCAGATCATATGTTTTATAAATTCTTTCCAAAAACACAGAGTCTGGGCAGGTCCAAAAATAAGTGAGAGTTGGTTTAATTTTTCAGTTTGTGTTCATTGTCCTTCTAAGATGATTCTTTATCCAGTGTCGAGGAGTAACAGATTACATGTACTGGAGTTATGTAATCAGAGTACAAATTATGAGTAACTGTATTCAGTTACAGTTACTGTTTCAGTGAGTAGTAATTGGATTACAGTTACTTTATTGAAATAAATAATAAATAAATAATAAAAATAAAAAAGATTACATGACGGGATTTTCCTGTTTTCACATTTTGGGCTACCATTTTAAATACTTAAAAAAAAAATAAATCATGTACCTTCATCAACAGTTCAAAGATGGAATAACACAAGATATGATGAAATACATCCATTTATTTACATGATTTGCAGGTCTTTGAAATTTGGGAAATAATTTTTGTTCCATGTTTCATACATGGTCTGTTTAAAACGTATGGAACTTTAGAACCATAAAGAATCAGAATCATAAACTAGAGTACATATGTATCTGTTGAATACATTTTTATATCAGATGCATTAACTTGAATTTTTGGCCTTGATGTTTACTTCTGCTTTACCGGGCCCAGATGTTTTATTCTGGTTGTTGATCGGCATTACAAAAACTTCATTTTGAGTCCGGGGGGACTTTTTTCAAAAATATGACCAACTGAAGGTCAGTTCCTTTCATTAATAGCAAAAGTTCATCAAAATATTATACAGGGTATAGAGGTTGTAAAAAAAAGTTAGAACACGAGTCCCCACCGTCCCCATGCAAACCTACGCCCGTGAAGACTAACCTCATTAAAGAGTTCAGGCATTGTGTTAAAGCTGCTCTGTGTGACATTTCTGTACAGAGATGTTCTTGTTTTTACCTCATTTCTTCCACCATATGAACAGATTTATCTTCACTGGGAAAAGCAGGTCAAGTTACAGATCAGGTCTATGTAGAGGCAAGCCCAGTGTCCTATTAAACAGTAAAACATCTGCAACTGAAGAACTTAGATGAGATGTTTAATGTCACACTATGGAACATTCCAGGCAAAGCAATAGCCTCCACCAGAAAAGTTACACGCACTTTTTGACAGTTAAATTTAAAGCCTTTTATTTTTTTGCAATATACAGCGGCAGTAAAAAGATTTATAGCCGCCACCAGCAAGAAATAAAGTTAAATGAACTGTAGCTCCCAGATTTTTACTGTCTTCAAAACAAGCTCATTTAAAAGAGTTTGCAGTGCTCCAAAGTCATTCCTCACTTACCTTATGTATTCAGAGCGTCCTAATTATTCACCACGAGAAGTTTATAAGCACCTTCCACAATTTTCAGAAGCGAGAGTGAGAGACTTCATCATTCTAAAGTGATTCAGGAAAAGAAGGTTCATTTCTCTCGTCTGAATGTTTCCTGTGTGTGTGGGTTGAGTCATTCCTAATTTTGTATTATAAACACAAACAATGCAAAATTAGGCTACATCACTCGTAATAAACCCCCAGTGATGTAACCTTCATTCAAGTATCAGCACGGCCTCGTCAAGCCTCTGGGGCCAGAGAAAACAATGATGTCAGTTTTTTTTGTTAATAATCATAAATAATTGTAAAATCATCCACCACAGTAATCATAACTCAAACATTTGATATCCTGACATCCCTTTATACCAGTGCCCATATTTTAAAAGTCACAAACCTTTGTGAGCCAAGTCAATAGACATTATTCGTAAATCACAAAATAAAGGTGGATTTAACCTTTATTGAACATCAATCCATTTTCTTCCGCTTTATCCGGGGCTGGGTCACGGAGGCAGCAGTCTAAGCAGGGACTCTCAGACTTCTCTTTCCACACACACGTCCTCCAGCTCCTCCAGGGGGACCCCAAGACGTTCCCAGGCCAGCCCAGAGACATAGTCCCTCCAGCGTGTCCTGGGTCTTCCCTGGGGCCTCCTCCCGGTGGGACATGCCTGGAACACCTCCTCAGGGAGACGCCCAGGAGGCATCCGGAACAGATGCCCGAGTCACCTCAACTGGCTCCTCTCGATGTGAAGGAGCAGCGGCTCTACTCCGAGCTTCTCCCGTGTGACTGAGCCACTCACCCTATCTGTGCCCAGCCACCCTGCGGAGGAAACTCATTTCGGGTGCTTGTATCCGTGATTTTGTCCTTCGGTCATTACCCAGAGTTCATGACCATAGGTGAGGGCAGGAATGTAGATTGACGGTAAATCAAGAGCTTTGCCTTTCGGCTCAGCTCCCTCTTCACCACAACAGTCTGATACAGTGACTGTGTCATTGCAGACGCTGCACCGATCCACCTGCCTGTTATTGAACATTAATGAAGATATTTTATAATTTTAAACAATGAAAAATGGCAATTGAAGCAGCAATGAAAGGATCCATTAGTCGCCTGTTTGGACATTAAATGAAGCCCATTTCTTTTTCTTTTCAGCATTCAATTGAACCAGTAATATTGGAACAAAATAGTCAGTAGAACTGTGTATTAGAGACCTAAATGCAGATCGTGACAAGGCAGCCCAAAAAAACATCTCTTGCAACCCACCTGTGGGTCGTGACCCAATCTTTGGGAAACAATGCTGTATATGATACTAGCTTTAATCTAGAGGTGGGTTACTAAAAAATATTATTGTGTATTGCGATAAAAGTGTAGCAATAATCATTTGTGGAACATTTTATATAATTGTTGAAACTGTCAGATATGAAAACAAACTCTTGGTCTGAAAAAATAACCTAATAACATAAAGTACAATACTGTAAGAGCTGTTTAAATATCAAACCTGTTCATAATATAAACATTTTTAAAATGATAATTTCTTATCTATAACATTTTTAAACTGTCAAAGCAACTTTAATCATTATCGTGATATATTTGTTAATCGGAATTATTTTCTTAACACCGAATTTCAACAGCGTCCACTTTAGCCTCAATTATTACCTGATTTTCGATACTTTTGACAAATCCTATGTACTGTATGCGATATATTTGTACTGTGAAAATAAAAAAAAATATGTACACGCTGTTTAAATCTAGAAATGTTTGACTCACTATGCTTTTTTTGTCCTTGTGCAGACTTCGAGCACTACACCACCGTGCTCATGCCCAGTATCTTCGGCGTCATCTGCCTGCTGGGCCTGCTGGGCAACACCATCGTCATCTACACCATCGTCAAGAAGACCAAGCTGTGCTCCCAGCAGACGGGCCCGGACATCTTCATCTTCAGCCTGTCCATGGCCGACCTCCTCTTCCTCCTCGGCATGCCCTTCCTCATCCACCAGCTGGTCGGCCGGGGCTCCTGGTGCTTCGGCTCCACCATGTGCACCGTCATCACCGCCCTCGACTCCAACAGCCAGATCGTCAGCACCTACATCCTCACCGTCATGACGCTGGACCGCTACCTGGCGACCGTCCACCCCATCCGCTTCAAGCACATCCGCACGCCGTTCATGGCCGGAGCCGCTGTGGCGCTCGTCTGGGTGTTTTCGCTCGTGTCGATAACTCCGGTTTGGATGTACACCGGACTCATGCCGTTGAAAGATGGCACGGTCGGATGCGCGTTGCTGCTCCCCAACCCCGCCACCGACACGTACTGGTTCACGCTCTACCAGTTCATACTCGCTTTCGCTCTGCCGCTGGTCGTCATCTGCGGCGTTTTCTTCAAGATCCTGCAGAACATGTCGGTGACGGTGGCGCCGCTGCCCCAACGCAACCTGCGAATCCGGACTCGCAAGGTGACGCGCATGGCCGTGGCGATATGCGTGGCGTTTTTCATCTGCTGGGCGCCGCACTACATCCTCCAGCTGGTCCACCTCGGGGTGCAGCGGCCCACGTTCGCCTTCATGTACGCCTACAACATCGCCATCAGCCTGGGCTACGCCAACAGCTGCATCAACCCGTTCATCTACATCGCGCTGAGCGACACGTTCAAGAGGCACTTCCTGGTGGCGGTGCGCTCGACGTACCGGGGGTTCCGCGTGGCTCCCATGGCAGGCGACGGGAGCATGAGTTTGAGGCTGGCCCCGGACAGTTCGCAGCAGTCGTCCGGGGAGCTGCTGCAGAACATGCTGCCAGTCACCGTCACCATTCACAAGTGACCGCGAGCACCGACGGCGAACCCAGCGAGACTTTAATATATGTAAATTGTGCCGTCCGAAGTTGTTTATTTTGTCGGATTTAAACTGGAACAAACTGGAAACGGTTTCAGTCTCGGAATTTATCGCTGTATCTGTATTTGTGGGTGTAAAATATGTGATATGTTTCATTTAAGGACACGTATTATGCAAAAATTGACTTTTCTTGACCTTTTAATCATGTTATATTGTCGTGCTGGAATTGTGTTTTGTTTCATTCATGCTTGTTTCATTCAAGCATTAACCCAAAGTCAAATTCTCTGAGCCTCAAAAATGCTTTATTCTCATTTTGGGCCATTCAGTTTCATCATAGATAAAACTCCTGACTTTCCCTGGGCAATTTTTAAGCTCATAAACCTTCACCGGACTCATTCTGTGGTCAAACTGTGTTCACAATGGCTCTATTAGCACAGACTTCAACTGTTCACTTTCTAAATGTTAATTCTCATCGCCGAGCGCAGAAATACCTCATTGGAAACAAAGGTAAAGTTCATAAGGGGCAGTTTCTAAACGCAGACATTATTTAAAGTTGGAAAATGTGAAATATCAAGGTGATCCAAAGCATGTTTAAAATTGAATTAACATCATTTAACTTTTTAAAATGCCCCGTGGACTTGGTTCTGTATAAAAAACATCTAGAGCACGAAAGACTCGAATATCCAGACATAGGAGCAATATTAGAAATGGAGTTCTTAGGCTACGTTCAGACTGCAGGGCTTAACGCTCAATTCAGATTTTTTTGTGAAATCCGATGTTTTTGCGAGGTCGTTCACATTTCCAATTCAATGCGACTTGTGTGTGACTCCAGTGTGAACTTTAAACGGCCCGAAAGTGTCCCGCATGTGCACTGGAGATGTCAACCGCAGTGAGCGTCTCTGTGTTTACGGAAGTTGTCCAAACATGGAGGCGAGCATCGAGCACCTGGAGATTTTAAAGTTCCTCTCGTACCAGAGCCAGAACATGAACAACTTACTTGTTTTAAGGAGCAGATTGAGAAGGAGAAGGACGAGGTTTTTGGCCGTGGCGTTTTGTGGGACAGTGACGTCCGTTGAAAGGAACGTGTGGATGTGGAGACGGAGCCAAGAGTGGTGAGTGGTGATGTGCTTCGCTTCAGTGACACGGAGTTCATTAACAATTTTCGCCTACTTCAGCGCAGAATAGTGACGTTTGTGGCTGGTTGATAACGTGTAGGTGGATGAATGCACTTTGGTCGTTCAGACTGAAGTCGCATGTCAAAAGATCAGATATGTATCAGTTTCAGGAGCACATATCCAAGTGTCCTGGGTCACATTTGAAAAAATCGAATCTGTGTCGTTCAGACTGTCATTAAAAGATCAGATACAGGTCACATAGGGGCCAAAAAAATCGGATTTTTGTCACTTCAGGCTGCAGTCTAAACGTAGCCTAAGAAACCCTGTAGCTTTTAAAGTAGCACAGCAACCATCTCCTCCCTTAAATATTTTGGAGCAGAGTAGGAGGAGCTCAAAATAAAGAGGAGGTGATATTAACAGGCTGCTCCTACAAAGAAAGTTTTTATATTTATTTCTTTAAAACACTCGTCCCTTGTGGCCTGAATCAGGAAAATGAAATTAAACACTTTTTATAACCTTCTTTAATGTGATTTACTTGCCTGATGATGACATATGATTGATGGACTTGGTTTAATGGCTTTTGTTATATGATGTACAATGTATATTTTGTTCTATGTTGTGTTTTGTGGACGTCTCCAGTGACTCACTTTTGGATTGGCCAAACGATCAGTCGGCAGGGGGGATATATGAGAGTGGAACACAGAGAGAACCATAACCTGACGAAAATCCACTGATCAAAACATTGTCATTTATTAAAGGCAGTTTGAGAGAATCCGTGTATCATTCATTCATTCGTTTTTCAATATAAAACCAAAAATAAGAAAACGAAAAAACGAACAGTTTTCTTTGTTATTCGTCTCCAAAATCAAAATGAAAAAACAGATAATGATGTGTTTTTTTCAATTTCCGATTTTGTGTTTAAATGAAGAATGGAAAAAACGGATAACGGACGTTTACGTAACTTCTGTGACTGTGATGCCGAACTTTTGCACCATATACGGACTGAACCAGCACTGATCCAGACCGGGACTGAGACCGAGACTGAGACCAGACTGGGACCAGAGTGGGACTGAGACCGAGACCAGGCCGGGATCAGGCCAGGACCAGACTGAGACCAGACTGAGACTGAGACCGGGACTGAAACTGAGACCAGGCCAGGACCGGGCCGGGACCAGACCGGAGGCTCGGAGCCCACGACAGGGCCGGAGCTCGAAGCTGAGGCTCGCAGCCAAAGCTTGGAGTCTGCTCTGGTCCGGGTCTCAGTCCCACTCTGGTCCTGGTCTTGTCCTGGACCTTGATCAGTCCTGGTTCAGTCCGTATGCAGTGCAAAAGTTCGGCATCACAGTCACAGAAGTCATGTAAACGGGAAACAGCTGTTATTTGTTTTTTCCATTCTTCATTTAAACACAAAATCGAAAACTGAAAAAAAACGAATCAGTATCCATTTTTTCTTGAAGAAAATGATGAATGAAGAAAACTGTTGTTTTTTCATTTTCATATTTTTGATTTTATATTGAAAAACGAATGAACGAATGATACACGGATTTGGGAGTAAGTGTGGAGGCTTTGTCACACTTTCTAAAAGAATGCATAATATGAGCTCTTTAAAAGGTGCACAGTAGTATCCCACAGTATGGCATTATATGTTCATGCCTCTCCCCTGATCTGACTTGTTACACAGCTTGTTGGCACCATCTGCTTGTCTCCACAGAGAGAAGAAGACTGATGCGAGCAGGTGGCCTTCCCTGCACCACAAAAGTTATTATTATTACCATTGCACCTTGTTTACCTTTGTAAACGATAATGTTGCACCAACGCCAACAAACGCCAACACGCACAAAATATTAGGAGAAGAACTGGCAATGAAATTAAGTTTATAGAGTCAACAGTCGATTGATTTACCTTTACCTTCTTATTTAGATCAGTGTTTCCCAAACTTTTTTTTCTGGGGACCCATATTTTAAAAGCCACAAACCTTCGAGACACAAGTCAGTATATTATTTGTAAATCACAAAATAAATGTGGATTTGACAATTACAGACGCATCAAGAATCTCGGACTTCCACACTGGGAAGGATTTTCCGCTTAACAAACGGGATCCCACTTTGTTGTCGCTCCACATACAAAATGTTCGCTGCAAACTCGGGATGATTTAGGCAGTCAAAGATGACCTTTTTCGTTCTTCCCGTGGATCAATCCTGCCCATCGCCTTCACCTTTCACTATTTTTCAATTCCGTTGGGAAGAGAAACAGTTTGAACAAAGGTTTGCAGTCACACACATCTGATTCCCTTTTGCATTTATGGAGTTCGCAAACAAATTTCTCGAGCCGTTTTCCACTGTTAGGATCCAACAACCGCACAATTACGATGTCCGAATCCCAAAACTAAAATATCAGAACCAGAAACAGAAGTGATATGGTTCAAAAGATTAGAAAAGATCGGCTTTGTCAATAGACGCATCCCACTGGGAAAACAAACACGGCGATTTGATGCTCACTTTTTCGGAAAATCCTTCCCAGTATGAACTGTGCAGTGACCGGAAATCCGAGATTCTTGATGCGTCTATTGAACATTAATGAGGATATTTTATTGCTGACTGAGTGATCTTGCCTCTGAACAATTAGTATTACTCAAGTTTTAAGTTATGAAAAACAATACTTGAACCACTAATGAAAAATATCCATAAGTTTCCTGAAGTGCACTGACGTTTGCTGATTTATCACCTTCTTTTTGGACAACCAAGCAAGTATTTCTCAACTTTAGCTGCAGGAACACTCATCCAGGGCAGGCAGAGAGGATTCGCTGACTCACTCGATCTCTCATGAGTCAGAACTGTATACTGCAGACCTACATGCAGATCTTGACAAGGCGACCCGCCAAAAAAACTCTCTTGTGACGAAGTCTTTGGGAAACAATGATTTACATCACCATGTTATGTTTTATTGTTTTGAAAATGCTGTATTCGAAAACATATTGTTATGTTTAATATGTATAAATTCTAAGCCCCCACTCCCTTTTGAAAGTGAAATTGAAACCACTTTACATATCATCAGGTTTGTGAAGTTGTAGTGTATTGTTTTGTATCATGTTTTTGTATATTTATGGAGAATCGTCATGTGGGAGCATGGGTGACGTCGGCTTGTGGATAGAGGATTGTACAGGATCAACTTGGACTTGACTTGGACTCGAGTCAGACTTGAGTCCCTGTTTTTAGAACTTGAGACTTGATGTTATTAGGTTCTTTTTTCAGACCAAGCGTTTTGTTTCATATCTGACAGTTTCGACTGCTCACTAGCGCTCTCCCTCAGCAACAAAACACAAAGCAGAACGGGAACAACTCAAATCGGCCGTTTCTGACCATTGTAAAAGAGAAAACCACGTTCTGGACCGGGACGGAGCAAACATCATTGGGACAGAGGGAAACAAACATCGCCGCTGGATTAAAGAGGCAATCGAAATACGGAAACGTGCCCACAGGACTGTAAACCGGGATGAGGGGGCTTTTTTACTCTCACACACCTGGGATAGTGTCCTGAGGAGGTGGGACTGTAGATGGCGCTGTCGTCCTGCCTCCACCGGTAGGAAGACGGCGCCAAAACCTGTTTAAATCAGCTGAGTGACACGTCACAGCAACATCACGTGACTCTGAGGAAGACGCAAGTGACCAGTCGAAACTGTCAGGTATGAAAACAAAACTCTTGGTCTGAAAAAAGAACCTAATAACATAAAATATCAGAAGACCAAATGAATCTCACTGGACTACTTGAGACTCGACTTGGACTTGAAGGTCAGTAACTTGGGACTTGACTTGGACTTGAGGCCTGTGACTTGAGAAGACTGGAGAAACACTTTTAAATCTGAATTTGTTTTAT